TTTGTAACAACACAAATGGAGGGTTTATTTGCCAATGCTTTCCTGGTTATATTTTCAACACTTCGACGTGGAGATGTGATGCAAGTCCCGGTATATCTTTTTAGCGCGATGTCTAGATTTTGCTATTAATTTGATAAGCCATTTTGTCATATATACACGTGGTTTGGTTGATAAGCCCATTGAATATGTTATACTTCTTTATATAATTCGTATTTGGTGCCTTAATATCTTTGCCATACATAATTTGGTAATGTTTTTAGGTCTTCAATTTGTATGTTTAATTTAGGTGAACCATACTTTCATATTTTTTTAACATCGAAATAATAAAATATCATGAGGATGACAGAAGAGTTGACACATGCCCCCAGTAAAGATATTATTAGAAAGAAACTTTGTTAAACTTTCTTACATTGCTTGTCTAGCACTTTTAAATATTATAAAACGAGGTGGCAACACATATAAAAGGAAAGATTATTTGCATGGCATATCTTCTCTTGCAAACTTTAATTTGAAATTATTTGAAATAAAATTGCTATGTTATCAGATAATCGAAACATAAATATTTGGGTACATCAGTCCAGTAAACCTGTTGTTGTGAAAAAAATAATTTCAAACACTAAATTACACTGGTCTTGACCAATATAATTGTATGAATGGTTTATGAGGACTCACCTTTACATAAACAAGAAATGCTTGTGGTTGGTTTAATTGCACGAAGTTTTCACATCTTTTTATCTTAAAGCTGAGTTGAAGTTTCGACTCTAATTAAACCATATTTTACGCACAAATAGTATTTCAGCATTGTTATATGTTTGACCAGGAACGTCATTTAGGAAAATACTCGAATTTTCAAATCATAGTTTTACCATCATGTATCATTGTATATTTTAACAGACGAAAGTGACTCATGTAGTGAAGATGAAGTTACTGGATGCAATGAAACGTCCGGATGTGTAAAAGAAACCGACGGCTCTAGTTGTTTCTGCGAGTCTGGTTATGAACTTGATGAAAGTGGCATGCTATGTAAAGGTATAATAAAAATTATTATAATATTTATAGTCAGTCAACTTATACAAGATATATTCACACTTTATTGAAACTATGATGGGTAATATTTATCCAGGACAATCATTAATTACATGAGGAAAAATGTTCATAAAAATGTAACGTTAAGTTACTGGGTCCATAGCTTGTTATTAAAAACAAAACAACGTCATTTGATCATACATCAACGCCATTGATAAAAGGTGGGTTGCCTTTAGATTTTTTTTGAAACGTGAAACCTCTCGTAATTGAAAGGGAAACATTTAAGACGTTTTATGCTAAAAATTTTAAATTTTAGATTTCCCTATATTTATGTTTAAATGTTGAATTCTGCTTACGTCGAGCATAGGGGACATGGACGGTAGCTTATAGTTTCCACTTACTGTCTATGAACAGACTCACTCAAACCGAGTCTGAAATATTTCAATTATGTCGTTTTGGACGTTCTTATGGGATACTATTTTTCCATTGTGACTTACAAAGCCAGGTGTTCTCTTTTCCTTTTAATGTTAACTTGTCATTTGGGTTTTGCTTTTTCATTAAAGGTTGAATAAGGTAATTTAGATTTTTTTAAACATTTAATAAATATTATTTTTACAGTATTATGTATTGAAGTATACCAATAGTCATTATCATGTTACGACATTAAAACAATAAAGCTTAATACAACTAATGATAGGCGAGTTTTAATGAAATACATTATAAAAAGCGTGTTAGATCTTCTCTGAGTGTCCTTTGCACGTTGATAACGTCATACAAACTGTAAGGAGCAATCTCCAGTGTTCTTGTTTGTTAATTTCATCAGTTTTTGCAATGTTTTAAGATATTGATGAATGCAGAAGAAGTGTCTGCCCACAGGATTGTACGAATACATATGGAAGTTTTGAATGCAACTGTTTCATTGGATACGAGTTACAAGGGAAAACAACATGTAAAAGTAAGTATAAAGCTAACAAGATAAATTTATGTTAAATCTTAGATATTTTTCTTCACTTGCCAATATTAATATGTTTCTTTCGTTCGATGGTTTTACGATTAAATCATTTCTTTGAGAATAAATCAGTTTTTTAAGCATCCATATTTTAAAACCGCATAATTATTGTGAAATTATTATGTTGAGATGCCATTTTCTTATTTAAGCTAGTGTTATTGTTTGCTTATGGTTATATGACATGTAACACCGTGTCATTGTAGTGATTATATGGTAATATCTTAATTTGTCCTCTTTGTTAAATAAATTGATCGAATTTACGATACCTTTTAAATAGGGTGCGATGTCCCTAATTGGGGTAAAAACTGTTCAAAAAAATGTGAATGCACTGGTCAAGGTGCCGATCGATGTGACCCTGTTAAAGGTTGTATATGTTTACCTGGTTGGACTGGTGAAAAGTGTAACATCGATATTGATGAATGCAAAGACATTGTTGGAGACATCTGCAAAGACTCCCGCAAAGAATGTGTGAACAATCAAGGAACATACAGCTGTAAATGTATAAAGGGATTTATTGAATCCTTCGACGGAACTTGTGAAGGTATGACCAGTTTGAAAACTTGATTTTAAGTCGGATAAAATTTTTTATAACATGTTTATATTCCAGATGTTGATTAGTTTCCTAATCACTTAGTCAATACCAATAAAATTCTCAACAATGAAATATAATATATATAGTCTCAAATGTTCGTGTCACTATTCCATTAACCAAAATGAAAAAGGTATAACGAGAATAAAAATTCCTTTAAATAACTTAATTAATACAAATAGTTTCAAAAATTACTTTCATCAGTCGATTTACAAGAGTTTTGTTTTTAAACAAAACGCTTTCTGAAATGCAACATTGCTTATATAAATAAACACTATTTTACGCGTTACATTGTTTAATTTTTTACAACAGATTTTGATGAATGCCTAAACCCAGTTACAAACAATTGCATACAGTCATGTACTAATACCGTCGGAGGATATACGTGTGGGTGTCACAAAGGATTTTCAAAAATTAACGAAACACATTGTAAAGGTAAACTGTTTTAAAGTGTTGCCATATCGGAAGCCCAAGAAGACAACATTTATATATTATTTTAAAATAAATAAATGTGAAGGTTAACTGTTTTTTTAAATAGTATCTTAGTTACATCGAATGTTGATTTGTCAACCCATTGATGAATGTTTTAGAATTTTCTAATTACGCCATGTTCTTTTTTAATGATAATTTACACAAGTCCTTTTGGAAGGATGTTCGATTTCCTGCATTGAAAATATATTTAATTTGGCGTGTTTGGTGCCATTTAATTTTCACGTGATATGATTTACCTTCGTCATACTTCATCACCTTATATCGACACAAAAAGCAGTTGACAACCACGCGAATAGTAAAATATCGGGCAAGTCTTTTGATTTACGCGAAAAAAGCGAAAAATCAGGCAATTTTATAGTTATTCCGGAGCTCCACTTGAATCAGATCTTGGGCATCGTCAGTTTCTTTTTTAAATACCTAAGTGTAAATATGCTCTGTCAGGCCAGTTTATTCTCCTACGACACTCTTGTTGATCTTGTATCATAATACACTGCAAGAATATTATCTAGAATAATTTAAACCGATTACACATATCGGAATGTTAATGGGACTTAGAGATTAACCAATCTAAATGTACTGTTCTAAAAAATAGCTATGTCAGTATACCTTTGAAATATATAAACTTGAGTCATAGCCAAAAGCAAGAAACAGGCCCAAGTACCTTCATGCCACTATTTTCATCACAACCGATAATTAATTTAATTAATTTAATCTTGAATAAGCATTTTAACAAGGACACATCCAAATCTACTAACTTAAGACATTCAACTTCATAACACGTAACGTACCATGCTCAAATACAAAATTATTTGTGAGAAATACTAGTGAACTACAACTCCTAAGGCAGACCTCATCACAAAATACTTCATATAATCAAAGATCCTTGGCAAACACGACATTGATGTTGTCTTTTAGATACCCTTAGTTGATATTCAGCTTGTTTAAGTTGGGTGGTTCCAGTAGTATTTGGATTTTTTTCACTCTTTGATAAGTTTCGTGCTTTTCTAAATTTGTTCAGGTTCAATGAAACTGAGACTGCAACATTTACAATTTGTTTGGTTTGACGACGTTTGTTAGAGGATTCTATTAATATCATTTTTTATTTTGGACTATCAATCTCAACACAATATAAAACAATTTGAAATGGTACTGCGTCGTGCAGAACGCTTGATAAATCATTGACAACTATCAATGTATAGCAGTTTCAGTTGGTAAAGCGCATGCAGGAACATAGAATGTCTAATGCCTGGCGCATTTTATTGTAACGTACAAAATAATAAAAAGACTGCTACCTGATACCTTACTCACTTACATTAGACTCCTATATACATGATATATACACTCGCCTTTCATTCTCCAAGATCAGTATCATTATTATTTTGAACTACCATTATATTTTGAATAGAAAATTTGATACAGGGTATGACCAAACCTGTACACATAGGTGAATAAAACATACATTTTTTAACCATCTTTATAACTACACCTGGAAATAAGTTAAGCACACCCGGAAGTTTAAAATTGGTTGTGATTGAAAGCACTGTTATGAGTTGACGACTAAATTGAGCTAAGAAAAAGAAATGTATAAGAAGCGATATCAAATTAGTAATCATAAACCAGTAAATTTATGAGTTTAGTTAATCCTTAATAAACCAATTGAAGCATAAGCAAATGTGTTGGTTTTTTCCCTAAAATGGACGTGTTTATAAGTATGGTGTTGGAGCATTTACGAAACATTTAATGGTGGATAGTTTGGTAAATTTTGATGATCACGTAACCTAAAATGACATAATGTTGCCAAATTTTTAATAACGTGTGCAAAACGGGGTTTGGCTATCATCCGGGCACGTGGCGGTTACACACGTTATTACAAATATGTGCTTAACTTATTTCCAGGTTTATAGCACACCCATTCGTATTATTGACAATTGAAATATGTGTGTACAATCAATTTGTGTAACTTTTTTTCTCATTCAGAGTTCTTCATTAATTAAATTCTTGAACAAGCGGACAGCTTCACGTAATACTAAAAACAGAAGGTGTTGCAGGGTATATTTAATAATAAAAGAAATGCACCATTTTTATCAAAGATCGGCAAATGTCCATGGCAAATATCATAGCATAGCTGAACTCAATTATAAACTAAAATTAACATAATATTCGGACCTACTTGTAACATGGGTGAAGACAATTTCAGGAAAATATGTCATAATTTACTTTCCTAAAACTGTATACTACAACCTGTTTTAGACATCGACGAATGTATTCTCGGAACAGCAGGATGTGAACAAGTTTGCAAAAACAGCCCTGGTCACTACAATTGTTACTGTTTCTATGGTTACACACTGAACGACGATAGAAAGACGTGCTTAAAATGTAAATATAAGATCATTTGGTAAATTATGTAATCATGATGTAATTATCTACCAGTCAGTAAAATTGTGTATATTTTGTCTAAAGTTAAGTTCGTTTTATAGTTATTTTATTAACTGAATTATATATCATAAGTAATCAAAAATATTCATATCATAAAAACGTTTGCTTACCTTTTCCATGCTTTAAAACAAATTAAAATTCAGGATTTTATTGTTTTATTTCCTATCATATTCTTACTTGTAAATAATAGTTTCCTATTGTTTTCATTTTGACAAGTATCCAATACATGTGAGGCACATTATGGTCTTGAATGCTCTCATTATTGTTACGTAAAAGATGACCAATCTTCGTGCAAGTGTCGTAAAGGCTACACATTACAGAACGATAATGAGACATGTAAAGGTAAGGTTCTTCCCATTCAATGTGTGATGGAATAACATGTCACGTGTCCATATCTCTGACAAATGGCTGGCAGTAAATATAAAGATGAATTGAACTGTAATACTATTGATACTAACAATTACTTGTAATTAAGTTATTGAAGTAAATTATTTACATGAAAAATAAACATAGCAACAAGAATAAAAAATAAAAAATATGAAAATATAAAAAAAAGAATAATAAAAAATAAAACGTTTTTAAAAGAAAGAGCGTATGTAATGATTATACTTTATGACTGATGAAAGTAATCGAAATTCTTTCTTACTTTGATATCGTTAAAAAAAGTCGTGATAATTTAAACTTTTATGTTGAGAAAGATTGAAGTGCTGATTTGTATTTAGATATAAATGAATGTGACGATAGTGATTTAAACATGTGTTCACCCGCTTCCGAGTGCATGAATACCAATGGATCATACAACTGCCAGTGTCCTACTGGGACAAAACTTGAGAATGACGGACGTACTTGTTCAGGTATATTTGAAAGACCTGTGAAAACACTTTCCCATTAATTTAATACATTAAAAACCCTTATCTGTGAAAAAAAAACTTTTACATTGATTGAATACATTTAAAACGCAATATCATTAATGTATTTAAACAGGTATACAGTATTACAAATTCAAATGTTTTTAAAAGAAACAAGTAATTGTTGCTCATCTTTTCGAATAAAACCGGAAACATTTGTTATAAAACATCTGAATGTGTACATTCTGAAAAAGCTAATTTAGAATTTGTATGACAATTCATTGTTTTTAAAATAATATATTTGGAACATTGTTTTACACTTTAACAGTACAATAGTATACAAAACTATGTATGTTGTTCTGTTATTTGACAAGCAATTATCGCTTTGTTTTAAGAATGTGACGAGTTTCATTATGGTTTAGAGTGTTCCCAGAAGTGTAGTTGTCTACATGGTTATTGCCATAATATACAAGGTATCGCATAAGTACTTTCTTTAATTCTAAACATCAAAACAAAGAAAACAAATCTAGGAAATGTATAAATTTTGCTTAGTCACCACGATATTATTTATTTTTGCCTGGATCCTTAGATTTTTTTTACCCTTAGAGGTCGTCGTTTAATGTCTATATGGTTTAAAATGAAATATTATCCGGTGCAATATATATTTGAGAGTGCATACTATTATCTCTTTAATGGAGAAATATCAATTCAAGTTTGCGGTTTTCACCATTGATTTTCTTTCTACATGTGTTACTATCGGTAGCCAATGCTCCTGATAAGAAATTTAAGCAAACTTAAAATTATTGTTGATTTGTAGAATAACGTGTAGGAAAAAACGATAAATCAGTTTTCACAAGTCTAGTAGATATATGTTATCTAAATGTTTTAAAAGCTCTCACATTTGCTTTTTTATCTTTTTTATTCTGGTGTCGTTTATTAAAACGATATTTGTATCTTAATATTTTTTTCACAATTTATTTGTACAATATGTTAATTTGATAAAACGAATTATTGATGTAGTTATGAAGGTCAACTATTTATCATTTGTCTAACCTGCAATCATTTGCTTGACATTTAATTAAATACATTCTAATTCATTTATTTTTACAAAATCGTTTGATGTTAACATAGGCTTTGCATACAGGTAACCGAAAATTTGAAGTATGTAAATTCTCTTGTTAAAGGATGTATTTGTTCGCCTGGTTGGGAAGGCAGCAACTGCGATACTGATATAAACGAGTGTGCCATAAACGCAATCATTTGTAAGGGTGAACATATTGAGTGTGTTAATACAGCCGGCAGTTCTGTTTGTAGATGTCTACCCGGATTTTACAACGTGTCAGGAAATTGCAAAGGTACAATTTAATGGTTCTAATGATGATGTATCGTGTCACTTTTGTTAGTAATATTGTCATTTTGTTTAATACGAATTGAATTATGTATTTCAGATGCCAAAACCGGTGATTCCTATCACAAACCTGTATGATTATTGATGCCATACTGAAAATGTTTTAATTTAAAGCAAATAATTTTTATGTCTAGTAAAAGTCAATTTCGGTGGTTTCTACCAGTAACCCGTACAATAATATTGTATCGTTTTTTCAGTATATTGACAGTTGTTTTTGCAACCAGTTCATACTGATAGTTCGACATACTTTATAAAATATGAAAAACAAGATCAACAAGGAAAGGCGGCGTTCAATGAACGCAACCCCCATATGACCCAGCAACAAGAACCAATGGCAAGGAGCCCAGGCGGACCCCAAACATAAAAAGGACAGGGCAACGACACGTTAATCATTAAATGATAAATAATTTGTAATAATTTATAACCCTACACTTAGCACATTTTCATAATTATGTCAAATATTGATAAATACAGTAGAAATGTATTAAAGGTTGACAAAGTTCTATATAAATTGTAAAGTTTGGTTGATTATACTGGACTTCTTTACTGGGAAACAAAAATGTATCGCATTTCATGCAATAAATTCAGGGCGGTAATTCAAGTACAAGTTTTCAAAATTGCAAACAAGTACAATCCGTTATAACTATTTTTATCCTGTTTGTGGGTACTAAATAATGTAAGGTTGATGATTAAAATTCTTTCTATAGGAAGAAGTATCTATATTATCTCAAACATTCAGTGTGGCGGCGTGGCCGGGTGTTTAACGCGTCGGACTTGTTATCTAAGGATTGCTGACCGCGTAGGTCCAAACCCGTAAAGGGCAAACCGTTATTTCCTTGAGCAAGAAACTTTACATTCATTACTCAGTACTGGTTGGTTCAAGGAACGGATTCGAGAGTGCTTCAATAAGCTTATAGCTTCCAACACAATCGAACTTAAATAAATGTGTATAAACTAAACAAAACATTTTGATAAGACGACGTTTAACAAACGATATAGACCAAAACCGGTAGAAATAAGAAGGTTTGAATATTAAATAACTATCAGATGAGTAACAAATCATTTCTTATTTCAGATATAGATGAATGTAGCGATAGCTCATGGAATAATTGCGACCAGAAGTGCATCAATAATAATGGCAGCTACTCATGTGCCTACGAGACTGGATTTATATACCGTGATGAACAATGTCAAGGTCATTGGCTATATAGATACATAGATTACCTATTGCACTAACACATCATTTAACCAATGACTAGCCCCTCACCGCTGTGGGTTCGAATCCCGAAAGGGACTTTGGATTCTTTCAAGTGAGGAAGCTATCCAGCTAGGTTACGGAACGTCGGTGGTTCTACTCAGGTGCCCGTTCGTGCCTGAAATAATGCACGGAAGGGCACCTGAGGTCTTCCTCCACCAGTAAAGCTGGGACGTCGCCAAATGACATATACTGGGTCAGTGTGACGTACACCCCCCAAAAAACAAAAACAACACAAACCAATGGCTGCTAATGATATGAAATGATATAAAAATGAAACCATGTCAGAAATGTATTATAAAGTGGACGTAGCAAATGTCTTTTCACGGCAACAAGAGAAATCTTATTTTTTTATTTTCATCACCAGACATGTTTTTTGGTAAACAAATAAAAACGTTATCTGTATGGTTAATCTGTGTGACATATTTAAGAGGTATGTGCACAAAGCACAAAAACGCCAGTAAAAAAATTGAAATCTGCTTATATTAGCAAATGAATTGTGGTACAGATAATTTCCCTTCGTTAAATGAGATTTGACGTTCTGTTATCAGCAAACATATTTGCAGTCCATATAGTGTACATTTGATTGATAACGTAATATTATTTGTGAAGTTACACATATCATTCACAAAACAATGTTCTTTTATAAATTTTACTTTTGGTATTTCAAATTCCTTTTATTTGGCTAGTTTTCTTGTTAGATTGTTCAAGTGTTCCTTACATATACTGTATAATTACCCATAAGATATGTTGAATATGGTGTTTCCTTGAATTTGTCTTTTGTCTGCGGTTGCCCATTGTTTTGTCGCTCAGCGCACACACATTTTATTTAATTTGGGACCATATGCCGATGTTCATGAAATGGCAGAAGCGTGTCAAATTGAATACAACATAGTAACTGCTGTATGAAAACAGTGCAAATGTTTATTTCATATTAAATGATAAATTTCTTGTAAAGCCAGTGAACGGTAGCCTGCTTTTTTAATACCGGTCACAAACAAGCTAATAAAATCGGGGCCTGCAACATTTTCAATTTTTGCGTTTTAAGCATTCTTATTTTTCTTATATTTCTGAAGGAATGTAAACAACAAAAGTAATGTTTAAATCTAATAATAACAATTTAATCTGTGTATGAAATTTGAAATCGTTGAAATTAAACAATTTATTTACCCATCAAAATTTCAAAATAGTTTGTGTTAAAGTATTAAAGGGCATATTGATATTTCTTTTTTTTTATATTTCAGATATCAACGAATGTCGACAGGGTGATAGATGTGACCAAATATGTGAAAATACAGTTGGAAGCTATAGGTGTATGTGTAAACAAGGATTCAGCCTGGATCTGACGGATAGAAAGTCATGTATAGGTAATTTTAATCTACCTGAATTTCTATAAAAACCTGTAGCGTAAACGTAAAATAAAAACAAAAAGCTGCTGTGGTGCATTTAAATTTCTATTAATTCAAATCTCCAGATCTTTAACTTTAACAGCATAATTAAATATGTGTACCTTTCAAAGGAGATGCAAATAAAATGCTGAACGATATTTCAACACAGTTACTAAAATATTATAACTTTACCCAAACTTTACCTGCAGTGAACAACCAATGCACAAATGAAACCAATACGTGCGGGGATCATGCAACATGTTTTATGGAAAACGGCAAGCCAAGCTGTATCTGCAGCAAAGGTTTTGAGAAACATGGATCAATTTGTAAAGGTGAATATATTAATCGTTTTAGGAAGACAATTTAGACAATCGTTAGTAGTTTTTTTAACACCAAAGAGTTTAGGACCCTTCGAGATAATAGCAGAGTGTAAAGCTTTTTCAATGGGTTAAGTCAATTAACAAATTGAATGATTTTTACATTAAACACATGATTAAAATATGGTGAAAATAATTTGAAACCACAAAGATAAAACAAATGGAAATAAAATTAAGAATAACGACTATCTTTGATATTTTTAGGTGTTCTCACTATCTGCTACAACAATAAATGGTTTAGTGTTTTAACTTAATATTAAAATACCATGAGTGTTTATGTGAATGTTTCATTTCAATTGTTCTATTGCAAGTCTGTTCTTGACAAAAATGTAAACACGTGACGATAACCATTTAGTGATATGCTTGTATCAAAGAGTTTGCATTTTAGAAATAATTACAATACAATGTTTCATTTGGAGAATATAAGATTCAGAGCATGCTGGATTCTTATCTTATAATCATATTTATTACTAAAATGTAAGCAATTAATGATTTAAACTAACTCAGTAACAAGCAGCTGTATGCCACTGAGTATAATATTCAACCCTTCAGTTAGGTGAGAAGGAAATAACTTTTGAGGAGTAAAAACGTTATCTTAAAGTTATTCTTCATTAACAATTATAACATCGATTAAAAATATAAAATGCTCCTATTTGCAAATCCACATACCTTTACAGTATTTCTGTATTTTACTTTCCGCTTTAAGATATTGACGAGTGTGAAGATGCAAATGGAATGTGTACTCAGATTTGCAACAACACCCTTGGTAGCCATATATGCAGCTGTAACGTTGGCTTCGTCTTGATGAACGATAGAATAACATGTCAAGGTAGTTTACTTTAGATGAATATTGTACCAAAAAACTTTTCTATTTTAGATGACCATTTTGCCAATAACACACTTTTCGAGATAAAAGAATTTCACAAATTGAACAGAATAATAATGGAATATTTTCAAGCATATACTAAAACGGGTTAATTCATAAGACTTCAACAGTTTCTAAATTCTTTTGATATGTAAGGTATCGTCGGTGTTACAGTATCCAATATTATATCCAAGAAAAAAGTACTTTGTAATATCTGTCCAGAATATTGTATACTAGAAAAAAAACAACTTTTGAATTGGTCTTGTGCTTCTTTAAAAAAGGTAGTACACTTTTCGTGATGGCATTAATTCAAATAGATATTAAACTGGTTAATACTATGTGATTATAGCTTTTGAAAACTAATATAATACAAACACTTGGATATTTTTAACGATATTAAACAATTCAAGTCGAGATTGTTATATTTCAGACTGACATTGTTCCATCTTGTTTACATTATATTTTTATCTTAAACAACTGCCGAGCTATAACGTTTTCAGATACTTGAAAGGTCGCCGATAAAGAACTAAGTGTTAAAGTATTACTAACTTGTGTCAAAAAGTATTCTTAATGTAAAGTCGCATCATTGTTTGATTATTTTATGCATTTTATTTCCAAATTTTGTATGTAACACGAGATGAATCAATCTGGTTTAAATATATTTTCTTTTCAATAAGAAACTATTTAATGTCTTATATGATGATATTGTACGTTCCGGATTTTGAATAACGATTTTGAAAATATTAAATAATTGTCTATTTCTGTCTGATATAATACAAAGTATACACTGAAATCAATTACATTTCAAACATATGAAACAAAATAGCATTTACTATTATTATAGTTGATAACACCTGTATGACACTATGCTTAAAAAGATTGCATACATTGCTCAACACAAACTCTTTATCATTTGATTATTAGAACATAGTCAATACAGGACAAGCAAAAGACGTTAAAATCATGGATATAGCTTTGTAAATTTCATTCCGTGATGTTTATTTATGTCTCAGCATGTTCAGAGGGGATGTTTGGACAGGGGTGTAAAGAAATATGCATATGTAACACAGCAAATACGAAAACATGTGATAACGTAGATGGATCTTGTACATGCCATAAAGGCTGGGAAGGCAGGAAATGTGATGAAGACACAAATGAATGTAAAAGTAACACTGACAATTGTCCAGAAAACTCGGAATGTGAAAATAGTGTAGGAAGCTACAGCTGCAAATGCAATTCTGGTTACACAATGGGAAGCAATGGATTATGCATAGGTAATTATTGCAATTGTTTGTAAATATTTTTGTAAGGACATGAATGACAAAGTTTTGGCTTTAAAAGATTGAACTATTTTTGACAAATAAAACAGTGAACAGTTATTTCATATGTCATTTGGGAACAGTAAAAACTGGTGGAGGGGGTAGGTTTTTGAACCTTTGCCCAAGGCAACATTTTTTTCATGACTTGATGAGTTCTTAAATATAATAAGGTGTTAATGAAACGTTTAATTTGCTTATCAAACGGCATGAAAGTATTTCGTCTGATGTGGAAAACTGTTCATTGTATTGTTTTCACAGTGCAAAAGTACATTTGTTTTAAAAGAACTGTGACAGTACAAAAAATGACAGCCAATGGGAAAAATACATTTTAAAGTTACTTGTCCGTCAGAAAAAAAGTTACAGACATATATATTTATATATCTTATCTTATCAAAAGTCTTTATTACGATAATAATTATATAACACTGCTTTGATAACAGAGGTTCAATAATGGCTGGCATACTGGTGATATTAGCATCACGATTACGCAATTAAAACTCCCTTACAACTAAGCAGAATACTGATGATTATAATCGATTGATTTCAATGACACTCTATTTAACACACTGAACATATATTCTGACAGACATTGACGAGTGTAAACTGGAAGAGTATCCTTGTACACTAGACATCTGTGAAAATACTGCCGGAAGCTACGAGTGTAAATGTAACATCGGTTTTGCAGAAATAGAAAACCAGTGCTTACGTGAGTTTTGTATCAGATAAATAATTGTCGTTTAGATATTTTTTTGTACATTTTCTCCTTAAAGGAGCGCAAATTTTACTCTTGCATACCCTCGTACAAATCATGTCAATTTTAATTTGTTTCTTTCAATATTTCTTATAAAATGACAAAGTCAAAGTAAAATATATAGTTTTATCTTTATTTATAAGATCGCCTCCGAAGGAGCGCCTATTCATAGAATTGTTCCGCGTAGATATTTAAATTATTTTCAATATGAAATATACAATATTTATACATGTCGAATATTTGACTCTCCTACTTGTAAAATAAATCAAATAATTGCCTTATCTTTCTTTTTTATTTATAAATAAAAGGGTGTAAGAATAACACATTTGGTGAAAACTGCTTGCAAACCTGTAGATGTAACGGAGAACATTCTGTTGACAAATCCCAGACGTGTGACACCGCTACAGGCAAATGTATGTGCCAATCAAACTGGCATGGTGATACGTGCAATGACGATGTTGATGAATGTGAGGACAAAACGATATGTAAGGATAAAGATAATACTGTCTGTGCTAATTATGATGGCGGATATTCCTGCAAATGTGAACATGGTTATAAAGAGTACCCCAGTACAATTTGCATTAAAGGTAACATTGTCTACATGAGTTATTCAAAAGTGTTATTATATCCATTTCAAAAGATATGTGCCGCTTCATGATTAAATAAGTCTTACTCAGTCCTACGCATAAACCCAATATTTCCAGTTTTCGCCCAAAATTTCCTATATCTGGCCAGTGATGAGCATTTAATTATAATTACATGGCTTATCACAGTATTACTGATAGCAGCGCCCTAGAATGTTTTATGATCCTATCATGTTTCAAGAATGTATAGTTTAAGCTTGTGGATATAGAAAACATTTTAGATATAAGGAAAACTAATAGATACATTCAATCTTTAATCAAGATTTAAATACTAAAAAGACTGGATTACACTACAAAAGGTTTTTAATCCCTTACAACTCACAATCACAGGGACTCGGTACAGTGTTTGGATATTGTAAAAAAAATAATTTTAGAAAAGAATTTTTTTTTCTAAAATTGTTTTTACACTATCCCAACACTGTGCGAGTCCCTGTGCTCACAATAAAAATACTGATGTAAATTACTTTCTTGGTAAAGGCATATCATGCCTCAATCGCCATAAATATTATTTTTCTTATAAAATGTAAAAAAGGTAGCAAAATGTAAACAAAGTAGTATTTGATTTCCATTCAAAATACTAAATCACTTTGACTATACCGATTGCAAAAGAGCAGAAAATAGTAAAAAAAATGATGACCTTTAAGTTATTTTAAAGAAACCATAACTGGACACCAAAAGTAACAAGAGCTGCCAGAGGAGACAGGAGAAGTCAAGCTGGGCTTTCATGAATACTGAAATTTCAGAGCAGACACGACCCCCACAGTGACATTGACCTTAGTCGTAGAAACCAAAGTCTTGTTCGCGACACACCATGCATCTATGGTTATTTCATATTAGAAAGAAAAATTAAAATCCTTTCATGCATACTGAAGTTTCGGAGCGGACACGACCACCACTGTCTATATGTTTAAAGCCGGACGGACTGATGATAGACTGACATACTGACAGACAGACAAACAGACAGACAGACAGACGGTTTGATTTTAATATGCCACGCTTGGGGAGAGGGGGATAAAAATCATCTAAGTTCAAAGGGGAAATAATTCTGGAAATATTCATGCTAGAGTTATGAATCTTGTCACACATGTATAAGGAACAGATATTTTAAGTTAGAAGTAGATACCTTAAGAAATAAAGAAGTAAGTAAAAAGTAACATTTTTGAGGAAAAAATGAGTTTAAGAAATAAAGAAGTAAGTGAAAAGTAACATTTCTTGAGGGAAAAAATGAGTTCATTGGGAGATAATTCTGGAAAAATATTGGTGCTAGAGTTAACAACATTGTCACATATGATTTAGTTGATGGTAAGGAACACATAATTGAAGTTTGAAGTCAATCACTTATTATTAAATGAAGACGTTAGCGTAAAAAATAACATTATTTTATGGAAAATTATATGTTCAAGGGGGTATAGTTCTGGAAATACTGGGTTTTTGAGTTTAACACCTTATCACATGATGTGTATGATGATAAGGTAATAACCCTTCGGGGCAGGGCCAATTTTTACCCCAGGGCTTTGATCTGAACAAACTTGATAGACACTCAGTAAAAGATGTTTCATACCAAATATCAAAGCTCTAGCTCTTTGGATTTTTTAAAAGAAGATTGTATACAGTTTTATTTTCGGTTGCTATGGCAACCAAAGTTCTGCTTGGAATTTTATTCTTTAAACACCTTTGATAGAGCTTTATGCAAGAAACACTCCTGCAATGTTTCAACAAATTTGGCAGAGTGGTTTAGGGGTAGAAGTTGTTTAAAGAAATTGTTGACGCAAGGACATTGTCCTCAGATTAGCTAATAAAAATAGTAAGAGATAAAATGTTCACTGCTCATAAGCATTAATTTAAAGTATGTACGCTGGCGCCGACTTACAGAGGTGAGTAGGACAGCTCTCCATATACTTTATATAGTCGAGCTAATAATAAAAATATCACTTACCTGGTCACATAGTTAAGAGTCTTGCACTTTGCAGTAAAAATTACATCGGTAACAATGTTTGATTTTTTTGTTTTTAGCGTGTTTTTTTTTTCGGGTGAGGGTGGGGGGCAGTTCACTCAGTAACATGAGTAACAGTGACACTTAACTATGGAAGTTTATTAATTAAGAAGATGATTATCACTTATAAAGGTATTTCAATAAGTAGCTAAACTTTATCTTGTGAATAATTCAAATAATTTCTAAGTTTCACAATTCACTTGGGCCGCAGACTCAGAGAGAAAAAAACATCGATAAAATCTTCAGGAATTTGATCCTTCAACGTTAGGGGGCATTATATAAAAATACAGAGAGCCAATTAATGATGACAAAACTTTCAACTCAGTGGTCTTGTTAATGGGAGAAATACAGTTAGTAGTGATTTACTAGCTGATAAGCCCTTACTGAGATTCAGCAGGCTGGAAGGGTTTATGCGTAGGACTGTACTCTTCAATATAAAAACCTTTACATCCGTCTTGAAAAGACGCATATAATTCACACCCGAACACTCTATTTATGTTACGACGTTCACACAAATGAATAGGACGATAAAAATGTATCCACATAATTTCAAAATTGTATACTACCAAAATTGGTCGGCTAGGCATTATACGTGGTATAGGCAGCAATGTCCTATATTATTTCTAATGGAAATGACCGCATAAATTACTTTGCTAATGAAGCAGAAACAAATTTACTTAATTGAACATATGATGTATAGAAGTGATAATATTAGAACAAATGTTATTTTGATTATTACTATTTATATAACAACGTTTAAATTTCAAAGAATTACCCTCAATAACATGGATTATCGTCATAACAACACGGGTTTTTCTTATTGTTAAGAATTTACATTCGTATTTTTTATGTAGAATGATATTATTCCAGATAATCATAGAGATGATTTGGATGCACATTTGCATCAAGATTATTACGAAAGGTTCATGAAAAATATGAAATATTTCCACTCATGTGATAATTGTTTACTTGCAGAATCGCCAATAATGATAGATCTTACAGTGAATATGACTCTAAGTAATCCGCCCGACACATGCTCTGTTGAGGATCTTAAAAATAACGCGACGACCAGTGTGAGTGATATGTATCATTTTAGTGGTTGGCTTGTCCGTGCTCTGCCTTGCGCTGTTTTTGTTTTGGATCCTGGGTTCCTTGCCGCTGGGTCTTCTTGCTGGGTCGTGTGCGGGTTTGCGTTCATTGAACGCCGTATTTCCTTGTTGATCTTATTTGTCATATAATAAGATGTAAAACATAACTATTTCTATATTTTACGTAATAATTTAATTTTTGCACTTTTAACTCATTGGTTGAAATATCTTTGAACTCATCATATTACTCGAGAAGTGTAAGACAGATGTACTTTAATATTATTTAAGCTGATTAACCCATTTGCGGTAGGTGTTTTCCTTCTTACTACCCTATTACATAAAAAAATTGTTCCAAATATATATAAAAAAAACCAAAGTTGTTATAATGTATGTCCATATCTCTTTTGTAGTTGTTTGTTGAAGGTATTTTGCCGTTGATTTATGACAAATGTATTTAATTAAATTATGTTTTCGTACTGGAAATGTGTTATTTATAATGCAGTGAGAATGCGCTATTTGTTGTTTGTGTTTCATAATAAGTGATGTTTTGATGTTTATTTTTCATTCATTTATACGTTAATTTATGAATATTGATATGAAACGTGCATATTTTCTCATTGCAGCTTATTGACTTTTATAAAAGGTATACAGACGCTGCTGTCATTATTATTGTTCCGAATTTAAGGTAAATAATTGTACGTTATTTCTTAAATTAATAAACTAACAATAGTTTTGGCATACTTAAAGAACACGTTAATCAGCGATCAAATCTCCCTGTCTTTTTTTCTCGAAGAAAACTAAATACGAGGGGAGAAGTCAGAAAATATCCGGACTTTTGACTTGTTCTCGAAAACCATGCAACATTAAAAAAAAATCTTTCTACTCTTTTTCAAAATATTCTCCACCTACGTCTACGCACTTTTGCCATCTTCGTGAGAGCTTTTGTATTCCCGATGTGAACCATGACGTGACGTAGACCTATGTTTTAGGTACTGTGTAACAGCAGATATCAAAGCCGCCCTGGTCGTTTATTTGTTTCCAGCAAGCAATTTTTTTCAGTTCTTGAAACAAATAAAAGTCACAGGGGGCGAGGTCTGGGCTATAAGTATATTTGTAAGAGTTGATAACCTCCACTGTAAGTGCGGCAGTATGGGAGGTGGCGTTATCATGAAGAAGGAGGATATTTTTCTGTGCTGACATGGGACGCATTTTCTTCACCTTTTCTTTGAGATTTTTCAGAATTACTTCAGAATAGTACTTGGCGGTGACAGTTTGACCTTTTGGCATGAAATGAGTAAGTATCATTCCTCGTTAATCCCAAAAGGCAACACACAAGACTTTGCCAGCCGAAGGAGATAACTTAAACTTTTTAGGAGGTGGGGAACCAGCTCGTTTCCACTGCTTTGACTGAGCTTTTGTCTCACGTTCGGAATAATGAACCCACATCTCATCTCCAGTGATAATGCGGTTCAATAACTTATCTCCTTCACGATTAAAACGACTTAAATGTTCTTTTGCATTGGTTACTCTGGTTGCCTTTTGATCTGCGGACAGCTGTGTAGGCACCCACCTGGCACTTACCTTGCTCATGCCTAGGTGTTCGTGTGAAATCTTGTGTGCCGTTGTCTTACCGATGCTAAATCCTCGACGATTTTTGTTGACAAAAGCTTTAACATTTGCTACCATTGTTGGGGTCACCGCCTCAGCTGGCCGCCAAACACTTGTTTTGCCTTCATGAAACTGAGAAACCCAGTTGTAGAAGGTTGGACGTGATACACATTTATCAGAAAATCTTTTTTTAAGTCTCTGAAAGATATGGCAGGGCTTTTCAACTTCTGCAACCAGACACTTTATTACAGAGCGTTGTTCCTCTAACAAAGAGTTTATGATAGACGAAACACCTATCATATATCAGAGGGCAAAAAACTGTGTAAACACAAGTATCATTGAAAATAAACTGACCACGTTATTGGCGAATGAATGTAGCTTTCACCAAAATATAATGTGTGTATATAGCTGCACGTGGAAAGAGAGGAGCATGAAAAATCCGGATATTTTCTGACCGTCCCTCGTAGTTATGCAATATATTTACAAAATTGTTCATTTTTCATATTACAATTAGCTTTATGTACGGACAATGAGACAAGTTAAGTCAATTTTGAGTGTAGAAAGATTTATTCTCAGAATGATGCCACCATATCTATATGATGTAAGTGGACGCAAGCATGATCTATATTCGTGTTAAGTACAAATGCAGTATTTGGCAATATACATTAAGTGTGACTATTGCTTTGTAGTAAATGACGTTAGATATGAATATTTGATAATGTTTAAAACATACCAGCTCTTTTTTTAAACACTTGTTTAATTTGAGATAAACAGTAAACAATGAAACGTTAAATATAACACTTAATTGCTAACTTTAAAGTTTGAATCGGTATATCCCGTACATAAAGTGCAGTGGTCGTAAATCCTTGCATCGGCTTAAGCTTAAGTTAAACAACAAAACAATAATAAATTAAATTAATGAAGTCCATTGTTATAGGGGTATGTAAGTGTTAAATATCTTAATCTTAAATTTAAATGTAAATAGTTGCAGTCCAGATGTTTCCCGTAGAATAAAGAGTAAACATTTGGTGATATTAACGATAAATTACACGGTTAGTTACAACGTGGATGACAAAGATGTTGCTTCGGAACTGACAGCCGCCACTATTGATCTAACATATGGAGCTAATCTTACTTTTGGAGGAGAAATTGTCTTTGTCAAAGCAGGTATTGTCAAAGGCAACTTAAAGTCAAATTGTTAAATACATGTAACTAATAAATTCAACAACAAAAGCTTGACAGATTGAACTGTCCGCCTGTATTAACCTTCCTGGATAAAATTATTTATATTGATTTTACATGTAATATACATATATGACTTGCAACTGATAAGTTTTTGGCATCTAACGCCCTGTTGATATTTTGTTTTCACCTAACTAAGTTGACTAATAAAAAGGAAAACCACTTAAGAGAAAAAGAAAAAAATGGAAATCTAATACCCCAACATATACATAACATCTTGCTGAACAACATTTATAAAATATCTGAATGATTGTACGGGGAAAACATGTTTCCACACAACACGGACAACACTGCTGTAAAAAGCTATTGATAAAAAATTAATCTTAAAAACGCCAAACACTTCAAATAATTTATTTTTTTGCTAACAGTAATCTTTTATAAGTATAAAGTCATATCTAAAATACACTATGAATGAGTAGAAATAGTTTGATTTTTTAAAATGTTCCAGCTGTTGTATGCGCCTTTTACATGTATGAACTTAAAAAATTGAAATACATTTAATATTCAACCTTTATGTGTATTAAACAGTAAATGTGAAAAGTAAGGAGCCTTGTGATGTTTACTTAGAGACTCTAGGAAAATGTGCTGACGGTTTCAGGTGTGAAATTGAAAACGAAAGACCAGTTTGCAGGTAAGAATAAGTTAGGATTGTCTTGTTGTCTATCAACTTTTCAACAATTCTGAAGTAAATTGCTATCGGAGTATCATTGAACGCCACTCTTCCTCGATCAACTTGTTTTTTTAAATTTTAAATGAATCAACAACAACAAAAACAATGATATTTGATAAGATTCATAAATAATAATTTATAGCTCATTTGGTTCGATCAAAACATCGAGATATTGTTTCCCTGCGGCGGCGTCGTCGTTGTTATCGTGCAGAAACATAAATGAAACCTGGAATACTTTTCATGACAAGAGGTAGTTTTTAGGCAAATGATGTAATTCTGTAATTATGTTTTTGGAGTTGTGGCCCTTAGTAACTTATTTTGTTAAAAAGTAGTTATTTTATATGAAAAACTTTAACACCACATGCGGTGCTCGTCTTTATATACATCTACAATATTGTTGATATACGAGTAAGACATATGCAATGTAAACGAAACATTTTAGTCCAACAATAATGTTATTATTGATATTTTATGGTTATTCATTATATATTTCAGATCAAGCAGTTCCAGTGGTGAGTTCAAATGTCGTTAGTACAAATTTGAAACATTTGTTACCGGCCAATAAAATTTGCCTTTAACACAGTAACCATAGTTCATATACGATTATATTGATTCTATCAATTAATATTGTGCAAGTAATGATATTTGTACAAATCAAGAAAGATTATAAAAGATAATCTTTAAGATAAATGAATAATACATCGGCTATTCATGTATAAAAATAATGCGATTATGATGTCATTTACAGTTAACCTAGCAATGATAATCGGTGTTGTATGTGGGTTCTTCATTCTGTTGTTGGTAATCATTATTATGATCAGATGTCTTAGACAGCGAAATCAAAGGAAAAAGGATGACCTCAGGATGCAAAAAGAGTATGTTAAGTGTCAATTGTTTTTCAAAATTAATTTATCTATAATCAAGAGTATGTTTGGGTCTGTTTCTGTTGCTTCTGATATGCTGTAATACAAGCCCATATCTCATGTTTCTTAAAGAAAAAAATGCTAAAGCACATTTTCTGGTCTTAAATATAAAGACTCTATCGCTTTTTAACTTATTTGTCGTTTCAATTATATAAGATACATATACACAGATAAGTGTTTGAAATTTTAATTTTGGTCGATGTCTAGCGTATTTATTTTCAATTTGTCTTAAAATTCAAAGCATTATGTTTTAGACTGACAACTGCTTCAGACCTTGGAAAGAAGCTTGAAAACGTGAACAAGCGGCAGCAAAATGTCTACAATGTGTTAAATTGGCAGACTGGTAACACGGGTTAGATTTTTGTTTTATAACATATATTTTAGTCTTACAATACTGCACGTTTGTAATGTCGCTGTTCATTGTTAAACTGGAGACGTTTCTATAATTAATATACACGACACAGCTGCTGTTAATTTTTAAGTAATTTAATTTTTTCACAAATTAAGCATTTTACCATGTAACACTCATTTGTCGGTGCAAAAGAAAACAACTTAAAAAGAAAGTTTTAAATTAAAAGAATTGGTAATTACCAACGGATTATTGTGCTATTTTATTCATTTCATTATGTGATAAAACAGCTCTTGATAAAGCTACTTCTATTGTGAATTCTATCATTAGTTAGCTAGTATGATATGGAAGTTTGTCATCGTTCTATATGCTTTATGCTTGTAAGTGTTGGGTACGTGTGCTACATGACATGTATTGATAATTTGTTGAGATATATGGGTAAACTTGGATTAGGAAATGAAGTTATTTTCATATTACATAGGAGCTTAAGATCAGAAAGGTAAGCAACGTTCATGGAGGGAAGCCCTTATTTGTTTACATACTAAATGTTTACTATAGACTTTATAGATTGATAGCTCTAAATGAGAAGATTAACATTTTTATTAGAATGTTGATAGATTTTTATGTTATGACATATATGTTTCCCTCTTCTATTAATGTTCATAAAACAAACATGTTTATTGATAGCGGCAGACATTGAAGATAAGACCGATAACAAGTCTAATATTTACATGACCTGGAAATCTATAGCTTCAAGATTCACCATGTCATCTGAAAGTGATTCTAAAGTAAGATCATACATTTACATAGCAAATAAAAGAGCCATACAATTCAGTCTTTTTAAACATAAAATGTAAAAGAAGACCTTGCAATAAGTAAAAGTTTCAAACTTTATGTTTAATTTGGTTTATGAATCATCAATACCTCACTTTAGTGGAATAATTGATTAACTTCTATTAATTTAAGAACGACTTATTCCCTTATTGCATTAAGGCGACGAATATGTGTTTCATAATTTACATTAATTTGTTTTATATTACAAATTTACTATTTAAGCACTTTAATGTCTCTTTAAAAGATATGGAACTAATTCGTAAATGCCCTTTAAAAAAATAACCACGTTTTTAGATGTCTTTATTGTGGTAAACATCCATGGATGGTGTCTTTATTATAAAAAGTTTTGAAAATTCAACTGTTGTTTTTATTTGTAGAGTAATGGCCAATTCCACATTCCTCGAGCTAGAATGAGGCCATCTCCTTGTTCGAATCCGGACTACATAACACCAAGGGAATTCTGAACCAGTTGGGACATGTTACTTCGATTTATATCTTTTTAATGAATATGTAGAGGATATTGAGGATATTCAAGTTTAATTTTTTTTGTCTATAAATACAGGATTTATTTTAATGGAGTGGTATGAAAAATAAAATTAATAAGTGGCGGTAAATTTCGTATATTGGTTGAATCTAGAAGAAAGTAGTCCAGCAGGGCATCAGCAAAAAAACCCGGAAAATATGTTTACCTGCATTGAAAAGTGGTTATTTTTACACTGAAAATACGGAAAATGAAAATAAATATTTCGTCAATATTTCTAAATATTTTATTCTTTAATATATAATAAATTTCAATTATTGTTTTTCTCTGTATTTCTATTGAAATAGATAAACCATCAAAATTATTTTGTTCTGAAGGAAACCACATTCATAATGAAATAGTAATTGTTCTTTATTATGTTACAGTGATATTTCTAAGATTGTGTTTTTGTGATTTGTATTTTTAAATGAACTTACATTTCAATATTTAAAGTAAACGGTCGTTAAATTGAAGACATTCCTATTGTTTATAATGTATACAACTTCTTCGTTCTTTTTAAAGCTAAACATGCAATCTCTGTCAATAAGAAATATTAAAATGAACGTCTTTTGAAAGAATAAAATTATTAAAAAAATGATAAAAAGAAAATACTTTTTAAAAAATGCAAAGGCAAATTCTTTTTATCCAGCTGCAGGTGTGATAAGTAAAAAAAATCTCATTTGTTATTAATCATATCAGCTGATGAAGCAAATTAAGGCGGAACATGTTTTGATGACCTGTGTTGGTTTTTGAATCTTTTAATCATCATTATAACTTTAAAAATACTATGTTTGCCTTGTCACCTTCATAAATATGTGCATTTAGACGGCCGATTATATTTGTAATATATTCAAGATTAATTCTTAACTTGTACAATATATAATTTACTGGACAGCTTTCTTGATCATAATTATTCATTCACATTTTTTTAATTGTAGTATAAGATATGTCATATTCCTTTAATTTTTTCTTCACTAAATTTGAATATGTTGGATAATTTACATTTTGTGTTAAAAGTCATCGTTCTATTTCCTTTTTAATTTGCTGTTGTAGGAAAATTCTTTAAATGCATATTTAATCGGAATTGTCATATCGACAACATAAGGTTTATTATCTAATGATTTTCATGTTATTTTGACTCCTCTGTTATGTTAGGAACAAAGACGTTTCGGAATTTTCTTTTCACATTAAGTGACAAATCACCTTTAGTCATTGTCATTTACACAGGCGTATAGTTATTTTTAAAGCACCAGAGTGAAACATGCACTTTTGTTCCTTTTAATAAACGTTATCACTTATAATTATATGTTTCTTATTGCCACGATAATTTACATAGACTGGATGTATTTCTATTTTAGAACTTGTTTGTTTTTAATGTTATCAGTGTGTTAAGGTCACGTTATCAATTTATCATATAAAAACAAATTATTTTCGACAGATACATAGACGTTATTTAATTAGTGTAGGCTCAGTATTGAATTTTTGAACGGGTTGAATAGTGAAGGTTCAATACTTAATTGAACGAAATCATATTATTTTATTCAACGAGTTCAATAAATTCAGTAATGACTACACTGATGTGATATCCTATTATCACATACCAAAAATAATGTTTAAAGTACAAAAAGATTTATCTTTCGTTACGCTTATATTTGCGGGTATTTACATTAAGTTTGTATAAAGCAAATGATGTCACGTCAAAATATATTCACAGCCGTGCAATGCCATTTTTTACGGAGTCGCAAAATCGGCACGGGTATGTGATATAAAAATAAAGTGTACATGTCCTATGAAATTAATACACACAAAGGGATTATACTGGTAGAAACATTTTGCTTATTAAAATCTTTGTCATTACCAAATAAAATGTGTATAAAATATAATTATGTTTATAATTGAAATTTAACAATATTTGTAAATTTATTGTCTTGGAAATAAAATTTGTTATACCAGGCGTAAAATAGCGCGAAATGTATCACAATTTGCAGTTATTGTCTACCTTGAAATCATTAATGCTTACATCATTTTGAGTGCATACATAGTTTAAGATACAAATTATATTTTTAAAAGTATGGTAATTGTTAACCAAGTATTTGATATATGTTATTTAATTTAAATTATAATCAGAACCAATGATTAAAACACAGAAAGTAAAAAAAAAACGGCTTTTATTTTCATTTGTATTCAATTACATACGTTTATCTTTTTAACTTGATTTCCATTTGTAACAGACCTTGCAACTTTTACCAATACTAACAAGAGTAAACAAGCGAGGTTTTACATACGCGTAAACTAGGTGCAAAGGAATCGTAAGCTGTGTGCTGCATACCTTAATAAAAAGCGAATAAATTACTACCCAGATATAATCTGCGCAGTTTTTGAAAATTTTATAGGAAAGCGTTACGACACGCAAATTCCATTACGCCCGTTCTGGAATACTCTGACAGGACCGGTACGCTTAAGTAAATGTCGTATTGTGCCAGGAATCCGAAACAATGTGTCTCAGTGCTGACACATTCGTAATCGTTTATCCTAATACCTTTGAAGCCCGATTAACTTTTTTATAAGCAAATGACCAAACACATCAAATTCAATTATAAACATAGTTCGTAAGACATAAAAGGCATCAGACCATTTACCACATGTTACTAAAATAATAAATCATGCATGACACCTCGCTTTTCTATTTAAAAGGCGGTTGTTTAAGTATTTGAAGCCAGACCTTTGTCCGTACACCAAATCATCTCAAAAGCAAAATGACAAAACTTTAAAAGATACATTCAAATTACGCCAAGACAAACTTGCTTTTTAGTTTCTAAAAGTAAGCAAATGGATATATTAGATATTCAGATGTTTTTTTACAAGCAATGCAACAGCTCTGACACCGATGTTTTTTTTTTGTAAAAATGTAAAACAAATCATCTTTAGGTGGAGACAATGTATTCACGCATGATTTAATTTTAGCCTGGTTCTGTGGTATTAAATCTCGGCTATCTAAAGATAGTTGTACAGGCCATTGTTTGTATACGTAATTCAGAAAACACTGTTGTTCCGCTTGAAGAAAATGTAAATAAAAATGCTTTGCAACAACGACTCGCGAAATAAAACGTGTCATTCCGCAGTAAATCATGCGTTTTATTCAAAATCATACGAGACTCGGCCGAATAAAAACAAAATAACTGATTTAGAATGGCTAATGTGAATTATAAGAGTAAAATCAGCAGACTGGGTTATTGGTCAATTTATTTCAAAGCGATTGAATAATTATTTTTACAAATTTACAAAGCATGTACTTAGCCTTCTAATATGGTTTAATAAAAGACAAAACAAGTAGGAGCATAAGAAACTCAAAGATAAAATAAGATTATAACAAATCATCATGTTTTGACGTAATGAAAGTAAATCAAATATCTACAAATGTCGTTAAACATAGTTTTCTATGTAAAAATAACTTATTTTACTAAACTGAAGAACACAAGCATTATATTTACAAATTTGAAGAAAATTTACAAAAAGAAAAATGTTGACTTTCCCGGAATAATAAAATATTTATTTTTTAAAGGGAAAAACCTATTTAAAGGGCTAATGGTCCCCGGGAAAAATAAAATTAAAATAAAAAGGTAAATTTTTTGGAAAAATATGCCTAGTTGGAAAAAGTAGTATGCAGCAATTTTTTTGGGGAAGCTATATTTAATTTGGTCAACATTTCTTTTGGCCCTTTTGGCCCTCCTTTAAAAAATTTTTTAAAACCTGAAGAGAAATTACCAGAGTTTTGGCTTTTTTGGAAACTTAATAATAAAAAAGCAAACTATGTTTTTGGGGGGTAGGGGGTTTTAAAAATAAAAATTTACAAAATAAAAAATTGAAATTGCCCAAAAAAAAACCCTTTTGATTTATTTAAACTTTAAACAATATTCCCATAATCCATAAAAATACCCAAAAATTTTTTACCCGCAAATTTTAACTCAAAAAAATTTTTAAAAAATACCCCCTCAATAAAAAAATTAAAGAAAAAACAAATATTTTGATCAAAGATAAAAACAAAAAAAACAATGCCCAAGTAGTAGACAAAGTTAAAAAATTTTGATATTCTACAATCCCTTTTTGTTTGGGTCCCTTTCTCAAAAAAAAATAAAATTTTTTTGGTTTCCTTTAATACGGGACTTTTATCTCATACGAATAAGTGTAATATTTAAAAACATATTTTAATTTTGGATGAAAAATTAAAAAACCCCTTTAAAAAACCCATTTCATTTAAAATCTTCAAAAACCCCAAAAATGAAAAAATCTTGTGTTTTTTGTGTTAAATTTGCCCCTTTCCTTTGGGTAAGAAGCCCCTTTTTACTGATGTGTCAGAAGTTTAAAAAAGATGTAAAAAACCCTCGTGAAGGAATTTG